GAGTGAAGAGTTGAAGTTGAAGACTCATTGGATTAGAAATTGAAAGAGCTTAGGAGCAGGAGAAGAGTACCTGCGCCGGACAAAAGATTACCCGCGCCGGGCTTGAACAAAACAGAGAGCCACACTCTCTGTAATTCAGAACTGCGTCGAGCTCAAGAGTAGATGCGCCAGGCGTGCTCGAGACAGAGAGCAACCTAAGCTCTCTAGAAGACATTGCGCCCAGCTTGAGAGTAATTGCGTCGGGCGTGTCTTGAGACAGAGAGTATCTAAACTCTCTGGAAGGCCCTGCACCGGGCGCAAAGCATAATGTGTCGGACGTGGTAACCCTAACCTGACTCACCCAGCTCGTATTTGATCAAGTCTTTGAGGATTTTTCCCTCATTCACACATTAGGCGACTTCTAGGAGCTGTGGAAGGGATTCCCGGTGCTTGGGACCGTTCGTGTGTGGGTCTTTCCTTCGGTTCTTCCACCTCTCTTCCATCTCTATTTTTGTTTTACCCTCATTGTTTTGAGCGGTTCTACCCATTATTTTGTGGGGTTAAATCTAACCAATGAAACTCTTTTGTAATCTTCACTTTATTAATGATATATATGTTGTTTCATTCATTGTTGTGTATGTTTCTATTCTTAATACTTGCTTTGAATTGATTCTCCTTTGCTTGATATAGAGTCTGTTGGGTATTGGAAAATAGCCTTTTGAACTAGCTCTGAAACAAATGCCTAGTGGGAGATGTATCTAGGAATGGAGCTTGGCCCATTAGTAGTCTTAAACCCTAACCCGTAATGCAGGTGTATGTATTGGATATTCAAGAAATTGATATTCATTACTTGCACCTAGGCTATTTCTCTAAGGGATTAGGTTTGAGTAAACTCATGGGTTGACTAAGCAATGAATGCAACTAGAGAACAAAGATTCATCAGAGTAAAGTTCGGTAACATTTGACCCCACAATTTTACAAAATCACAATACCATTTCTTATCCCTTCCACACACACACTAATTATATCATAGGTTTGAAATTCCAATAACCTTTATTTGAATTGCATGACAACCTATGAAAATTGGAATTATTCTTTAGTCACAAATAGTCATTAAATGCTTATTTTACCTACTAGTCCCCGTGCATACAATTTTAATTTACTATTTGAACAACCGGTATACTTGCCGTGTTTGAGTTCGTTGTCAGAGTCAAAACGATTTATGATAAGAACAAAAGTTAATTTCAACAGAAATCTCAACACTCAGCCCTTTAAAAAGGCTCAACCGTTTGCTCCCAGGGACTTCTTCTTGTTCTAATCTCCAAAATTTGCAAAACAAAGGAATAATTGGTCACAAAAAATTCATCACTCCACAAAATCACTTCATTTGAAATCTCTTTTGATTCTATTTATATTTTTCATAATTTTATCACTTTATTCAGGAAAAAAAATTATGCTAGATAAGTGTCATAATTCAATATTTTCTTTAGACACATTTGACACTTACCAGATAGCTTAATGAAATCATCATACAGAAAAAGATTACCATTAGATTAGTTTCAATAATAGAGTGAAAGTTGTTGTGGACATCGATCTTTAAAGGGAGTGGCAATGTTAGGAGTTTTACATTGGGTAGAATACAAAACTCAATGTAGTACTTAAACCTCAAGACTCTCCTATCTATTTGACTAATCTTTTGGGTTGGTATATCTTTCTGTGCATAAGTCATAACAATTGACACTTTCATTGATAATTAGGCTACAAAAAGACTACCAATAGGTTGGATTAAGAAGCAAACTAAATAATAATAAGTGAGTAAAGTTGTCATAGAGAAAATGACTATCATTGGATTGGTGTTAATAGAAGATTAAAAATTTATTTCAATTTTACAAAATTATCTTTTAAGATGATAATTGTTCTTCACTTATATACATTTTATTGATCTTATCACTAATCGATCTGAGAAGTTCAACATCAACTATAATAATTATAAAAAAAGACTTTATGTCACTTTAAATATATAAATAATATAAAATTAAAGAAATGCAAAATGTAAATTTCAATAATTAATATTTTTTTCCCGATTCTCACCAATAAATAACATTTTTCCATTAGAATATTTTAAAAGAGATTAATTTACGAGTTTATCAAATTGGTTGATTCTTGATTGCAATATAGCTAAATTGTAATATTAAATAAATTTCATTCGTAATTAAAAAATTATATAGACAAAACTGTGTCCGTGGCCGGGGTCCAAACCCGGAAATTCAATATGAGAATTTACCCAATTGAGCTACGACGGACATTATGAATTCTTTATGTAAACATTCTATTTTATTTACTCTCTAACCATTTTATTCGAATCATCATAAAATATTGTAGTTATATATGTTCCCGAACTTGACTTGTATTTAAGTATTTAAGATGAATTTATATTTCTCTTTACCTAATGAACAAGAAATCTTGTTAAAATTATTTATGGAAAATCCTGTTGAAATTATTTATTTAAACATATAAGAATATTATGATTCATTAATATTTTTACTCCATCAAGATGCAACATTATCTAAATAACACTTTAACTGTAATAATTTTTTTTTATATGAAAATACGTCTCAATAAAATTATAAATAATATAATGTTAAAAAATATAGAAAATATATTTTTTAAAATTAACATTTTTATTAAAATATTATAAAAGTGAGTTTTATCAAATGATTGATTTTAATAAGACTGAATTGTAATCTCAACCTTACTTTATTAATTTACATGTAATATATTCCCTTCACATTAAATTATGCGACAATTTTTTTATTTTTGTCATGTAACGTGTATATTTTGACAACTAGGTTGATAATTATAACATTTCTGCTTATATTACTTTTAAGAATATGATTTACGAAAATATAATATCATCCACTCCAAAGTAATTAGATTAGTCTAGTCTGGGCATTTTACGATTTTGCGAAGAGAAGACTTTGTCATAGACGAGGTGAGACGTTTATTGTCTATAGAGCATGTTTAGTTTGGATTTGGATTTGGAGAAACTCAAAAATCAAAATCATGATTTGGACAAAATTCATGTATTCAAACCATGAATATGAGATTTCAAAAGTTAAATCACACATTACATTATCATTAGTCGCCATGTATGACCAGACGTGACAATACACCCAATTGCATTCCATTTGTGCCTAATCCAAAGTCCAAACCATGTCATGCCAGACGATAACATATTAGGTGCTATGTTATTATACATTTTATTAATATCTAATTAAATTACATATTCTGTTTTTTATTTTCAGAAAATTTATAATTTATAGTTAGATATAAGAATGATTTTTTTTTTCCTTTTTGTGTACAAATTTTTAAGATGTTTTTACTCATATTAATTGTCTTCTAACCATCTTCACCCTTTTCCAAGTAATTATTAATCCATCAAAATTAATTATTATTTTTCTTTCTTTTATTAATAAAGATACAAAGTGTCTTTTTTTTCTTTCTTTTCTTAGTAATATTAATAAATGTCCTTAAACATACTCATTAAACCCCCTACCACCTACTAGGGGTGTTCGTGGTGTGATTTAATTCGATTTTTATCTTAAAATTCATCCAAATCAAATAAGAAAAATAAGTTTAATTTCATTTAAATGAATTATGAAATTTAAATTAAACCAAATCAATCTTTTATCATTGGTTTGATTCGACTTTTGCAATTTTAAAACTTTGTCATTTAAAAATTAATTAAAAATATGTAATATTATGTTAGTTGAATTTCATTTTGTTTGGTAAGATTTTGAAAAGCTCTAACATTAAGAATGATAAAATGGATTAGTTTAATTGTTTAAATTTGTCTTGCCAAAAAGGAGTTTGGTTGGGCGAGCCCTCCAAATGAAAATGGGTTTGACAACTTGGTTTACCTTGCTTAAAGGTGGGTTGGCATGTCGAATACCAAAATATTTTTTTTTTGTATATTTCTTTTGTGTACCTCTTTCTAAAGGTGTTCCGATGCCGTTTCATTTGGTCTTTAGTTTAAGAGTCACTCAAATTAAAAAAAAAAAAAGTATGATTCAATTTGAATGAATTATGAAACCTGAACCAAACTAAATTAATCTTTTTGTGATTTTGTTTGATTCAATTTTTACAGTTTTTAAATATTATTATTTAAAAATCAACTTAAACTATGTAATATTATGTTATTTATTTAAAATTGTATGTCAAAAGTAAAATTAAAAATATATAAATACTAAAATATTTATGTCACTTAATGTACTTAACACCAATTCCTATCTTATTATTTTAATAAAAATATTTTTTAATATAATTTTAATTATTATATTAAATTTTTTTCTTACATATATAGTTTGTCATTTAAAAAATTATTTTCAAACATTATAAATAATTCATAAATTTTCATTTTAAAATTCACTTTAGTAACTTACACTTATATAAATTACTTTTTAAATATCAAACGTATATTTGGAAAGAAAACCTTTTAATAGCTTAGGCTTTTATAAAACACATTTTGTGTTATATGAAAATTTTGTATACATATATTATACATTTGAAAAAAATATACATTTACAAATAAATATGATTTAGAGTAGTTTTACATTTTAATTCAAAAATTGAACTAAACTGTAGTTTTGAAAATTTAGAAACCAAACTGAACTGCTAATTTGTAAATTTTCATCGATTTACATTTTTTTTTAGATTAAATTACAATTTTTTTTTGTTTAAATTAGTTTAATAGATTAGACTAAACAAGTCAAACTGACTGACGGAGTAGAATGTTAAACTCAGACTATTAACTTCTGACAACTCAACGAGTTAATCTAAAAGACGGAGTCCATTTTTTCATCCTACCTATGTTTATATTTTTATAAAATCTAATTAATTTAATAAAATTAACACAAAATTATTGATAAAAAATTAACACGGGATTTTAGTGACTAAATATAAAAAAGTAAAAATAAAAATAAAAATTCAAAAGCCGGTGTAAGTGTAACTGTTTGCGGATTAAAGACAGAGAATTTTGGTGCTAAAACCTCTCTGAGCTGTACAAAGCAGTCATTACATTACAAATTGACGAAGATCTGCGACTCTCTCTCTTCGTTTCGGTGGTGCGTGACTGCTTCATCTCTCTCCTCTCTTCAATTCAAGTCTCCAACTGTTTTCTCTGGTCGGTTTCCAATTCCATTTCCTCAACTTCTTAGGGTTTAGTTTAGTTAACTTCACAGCATCATATTCTTCAATCTTGCAAAACCACAACACATTCTTGTTCTTAGATCTGCGCTTTTCTGTTCGGCAGAAAATTGTCGCCTAAGAAACCACAGATTTGTTCCTTTTTTCTTCGGCGATTTTTTAGATGCCTGATTTTGAACTTGTTCAAGTGCTTTTAGTTTAAAGATTGTTAAAGAATTGATAGTTTAAAGATTGTTACGGTGATGTGATTGACGTTTCGTTTTTGCAGTACTGCGGAATTGAAGTAGCGGAGGAGATGACGAGTCGCCTGAAGGAAGACGAGAAGAACGAGCGCGTGATTCGAGGTCTTCTCAAGCTTCAACCTAATCGCAGATGCATTAACTGCAACAGTCTGGTGAGATGTTATCCGAGTCAATATGATGCATTTTTAGTTTGTGTGAATGTAAATTGCAACTAACTTGGAGGTGGAATAGAAAGAGAAAGTAGAAACGAAACGGTTATGAAAATAAATAGAAGAATTGAAATTAGGTATGTAGTGTTATGAGAATAAATAGAAGAATTGAAATTAGGTATGTAGTAGAAACGTCGGAGTGCGATTTCACCTGTTTATAGCATGTGTATTGATTGAGTCTTTCACTAAGAATAAAATGGTTGAAAATTGGAGTGTGGGATTAGATGTGTGGTATTCCTTTTAAATGAAGTTCTGTGTACAAGGTTTTTAAATTAGATTTTATACATGAATTCTGCAATATTATGAATCTCATTAGTTGTTAGTGTCAACCACAGTAACTATAATTTGGTATTACAACAGACTATATGTTACCCTCAAATCCTATTATATTGAGTTACTTGGACTTGCTGCTTTGTAATTTGAAACCAGTTAATAAATGGTTGACTTTGTTATTATTAAAACTGTCAGTTTAAAAATCAATGATAGATATTGTCACATTATACCATTTCCTTATTTTACCTACCTTTATGAGAAATGTTCCTATTGATGATACCGTTAACGATATTGATTTCATTTTAGGAAATTTCATGAAAAAAAAGTGCTAAAATAATTTTTGGGTTCTTTGCATTGGTTGTGTAAATGAGATTTCTGGCAATAAGTGCTTCCATAAACTGTTAATGACTTTTTATTTTGTATTTGGTTGATTTTATTAAAAATTGCTGGATAAGTTTATTCTTGTCTATATTGACATTACATTATGTGTTCATATGATATTAATTAAAGTAACTTGTAGGCTCAAATTGGTCTTTTTTGATGAAATACTTTGAAAATTTTGCTGTTAGTATGACTGGGAATAGATAGGTCAAGTCAGACTTTGAATAAATAGGTTGTACTTATTTTATAAGTCTAATCTATTATTTATTATAGATTTTTTTATAGGTCTGGTCTGACCTTTTTAAAGTCTGGAATAATTATTAGCCTATTTAAAAGTCTATTTTGCAATTAGTCTATTTAAAAATCTATTTTGTAATTAGTCTATTTAAAAGCCTAGACCAATAAATTTAATTTTAAATAAGTCAACAATTATATTTTTAAATACATGTCCTTGTTTAATTTGCATAATAAAAAATAATTTACTCTATTATTATTAAAATTTAGAGTTTAAAATAAAAAAACTAATTGAGGGACAACTCATGCATGTCCATGTAACGTACAGTCACGTACAGGTTGTCATGAAGAAGATAATCTTATAAAAAAAATGTTTCCTACATCACATTTGAAGTATTTTAAATCATTAACCGTGAATATGAAAGAAAAAAGTAAGCGAAGTGTAGTAGAAATGTAAAAAATATTGATAATTTGAATTTTTGCATTACAAATTTATTTATTTAATTATATTGTTAATAATGTTATATATATATATATACACTATTTTTTATTATATCATAGATCATAGAAAAATAGATTAGTCTTTCAGGCTTAATAGATTTTTTTTTATAAGTGTAAGTCCAATCTTTTTAAATAAATAGACTTTTTAAAAACCTAAACTGACCTTTTTATTAAATAGGCCAGGGCATGCTTTAAACATGTTAGACCATAGGTTCTTGTTTAAGGCCTAATCTATTTTCATCTCTAGCGGTTAGTATTAATATGAAACAACAAGCTTTTTACTTTGTTATTTGAGATATTTCAGATTTTTTGATAACCATTCCAGATTTGTTTAAGCAGTTATTTGAAGTCCACTTCCAATGAACACATAGTACTATTTTTTTTTTTTTTTAACAAAACACAGTACTATTTCTAAACATCCAAATAGGAGTAAATGTTCCTGGATTAGCCTGCAATGGGAATGGAACTATTAACTGAGTATTCAGACTGAAAAAAAGAGTTAAATAAATATCTTCATGAGATGAACAGTAACTAATTAATCTGTGTTTCAACTTTTTTGTATTTTTAAAAAAAATCTACTAATTTTCAAGGTCTCTGAGAAAAGTTAAAATTTCTATTGCACATTGGGAGATGTGTATAGATCATACAAAATTGAATATTAAGTTATTTAAAGATGTGTATAAATTGGTTGATCCTTTGCTTTAAGACTGATAGGATTAAATATCAAGTATTTAAGACATTTAATAGATATCTATGATAAGGTCAATGTGGTGTTTGAGGGCATATATTTCCTTGATTTTTCAGATTTTGTATCACCCATAGCCTGTTGCAGATGGATTTTATTTTATCATTGACATACAGTCCAATGTTTCCATTTGTATCTAATGTCAAGTTCGTAGCATGTAGACTATAAAATAGCCAGGATGATAACTGTTCCCATCAGGCCATCACCTTTCAATCATTCCCTAGATTTCATGCAAAAACAGGATCCTTAACAAAGATAAATTTGAAACTCTGTAAATATTCTTTTACAATCATTTTGTAGACTTTAATTTAAGTGTTGTTAACTGTTAACAGCTTTTAGAGCATTCTTCTGAATCTAGCAAGGAAATTATTGCATTTCATTTTGTGACAGATCTGTTACATTAGTTATTTTCTCTTCTCTTTTGGCAGGGACCACAATATGTGTGCACAAATTTCTGGACGTTTGTTTGCACGAACTGTAGTGGAATACAGTAAGTCCTATGCGATTTATGTACGCTGTGATTTGTGTTGAATACATGCTTTTATGGTTCATGATGACCTGCTTTGCTGATTTTAATGCTGGAATTTTTCATTTGCTTGTTTAAATGCTTTCAAATGTTTTGCTCATAAGTTTCTACTCAATGATGAATTTTGAAAGGTCTTCATACCGTAAACTCTGTTTACTTTGTGTATATGTTGGACTGTTTGTAATGGGTTGGATTTCATAAAGTTGTTTAAGTACAAAAATATTATTTTCTTTTGGTAGGGAATAAGTCTTGCATATAGCACTAATAATGTGCATGCTCTACTAGTGGGTATAAACTGCATTTTTTAAGATATATTATGCTGTACTGGAGATAGAATAATAGTATTTCCTTTCTAGTTTGCACTTTTCTTTGAAAGTCAACTGCTTTTTGTGTTGATTTATAGTCGGGAATTCACTCATCGAGTAAAGTCAGTTTCAATGGCTAAGTTTACTTCACAAGAAGTTAGTGCACTTCAAGAAGGAGGAAATCAGGTATAAATGCCTGTTTATGCTAAAACTCATGCTAGATATCTTCAGTTGGCCCAATATCATATATTCTCAAGTTGATTTCTGCTTTTTCTAATACCTGAAGCGTGCAAAAGAAATATATTTTAAAGAATGGGATGCACAACGTCATTCTTTCCCCGATAGCAGGTAATTAATTGTTTATATGATTGATTATATATATAATTGCAGGATGCGTCATTCATTTTTTCTGATTAGCATTGTTGGTGCCAGTAATGTTGACAGGCTACGAGACTTTATTAAGCATGTTTATGTGGATAGAAGATTTACTGGAGAAAAGCCCAATGACAAACCACCAAGAGTCAAAGCAGTAAGATGTCTCTTGTTCCCATTTGGATGCACCATTTTTAAGATTATATTTCAGTTTGTTATAATTTCAATATACACTGTTGTTTATCTTTAAAATTGGTTGAATATATCAGCTAAATCTAACACTCTAGTCTCTTCTCTTATGCTTGAACATATACAGGGTGACAAAGATGATTTCTATCAAGGAGGAGGATCTAAAAGCCCTCCCTATGAGGATGCATATGAACGTCGTTATAGTGACAGATCTAGTCCAGGTGGAAGAAGTCCTGGATATGATCAAGAAAGTAGGCAATATGGTGATTATAGGAGAAGTCCTGGTCGTCCTCCAATAATTAATGATTGGCGCCGTGAAGATCGTAGAATATCAGATGGAGATTATAAGGTGGAAAGCCAATCTCCTGAGCGAGCCAAAGATGTGGGTTCTTCAAGCCCACCAGTGGTCCGACCTGTTAGAGAAATATTGGGAGAAAATGTAGTACCTCTTCGGATAAGTGAACCACCCAAATCAAACAGTGGAAGACCTGCTGATAGTTCAGCATTGACACAGGTGAAATTATTATTGATGATGTTCCATATGGTTCTACCACCTGGGTCCTGAATCCTGATGCTGGATGCTGCATGACCTGCCTTTGGTGTTTATCTCTGATCTGTTTATCATTGTTTATGCTGTAACAAATTAACTATGTTTTGTTAATCAATGCTAATATTTTTCTGTTATTTCCTTGAAGATGTTTTTGGTTTAACATACTTTTTTATTATGCTGGTGAATTTATTATTATTGCATACTTCAAGATTTTGCTTTAAGCATTTGATGAACAATAGGAATCTGGTCAATCTACAATAGCATGAACACTAACTGTTCATTAGAGCCCATAGTTAATTTTCTGCAAGATCTAGCTCAGTGTTTACTGTTTACTTTGTTTAGCATGAATTATTTTGACAGACCTCCCCTTAACCTACTTAGGCACTATAGTTTAGTAAGGTAGTTGATAAGTGCCCAAGCACGTGGGGAATTCTCCCTTGAAAGCTAGCTGTTATGGTGGGGACTGGGGAGAACCAAGCACTTAAATACTCTACCAAGTATCCCATACTATTTTATGTGGGACTTACCCAAGTTCCTATTAGTAGTTGAACTTGATTTGGAATGCAGATTTTTTATGACAAATGACTGTTTATAATTTCAGAGAACTGCATCTTCCAGTAGCTTAACATCTGTCAACGAAAATCCAGTAGATGTTAAACTTGAGACGACTAAGAGCCTTATTGATTTTGATGCTGATCCTGAACTTCCGGTAGCTCCATCAGTTCCTCAAGCCCAACAATCTACTGTGCCGCAACCTGTTGTGCAACCAGCAAATTCCGGCAATGACAATTGGGCCTCTTTTGATGTTGCTCCTGGGGCAAAAGCAACTCCAAGCTCCTCAAATTTCAATTCACTTGAATCAGTGTTATCCGAATTGTCTGTGCCAGCATCTTTACCTGCTCAATTTTCTGGAGTCCAAGGTGACCTACTTGTTGCAACAGCTATTCCAAGGGCAGTGTGATATCATTACCAAGAACTGATGACTCATCTGTTTTACTTGCAGTACCTATTCCAGCACCATCTCTTACTTCTACTTCTGGACCCGCAAATGTTACTGGTTTCTCAGCTTTCCCACCCAGCAATGCTTCAGTACCATCTCCTGGATTGACATCAGTATCGCCTCTTAATAATGCAGGACAGTGGGCCAGTTTGCAGCAGCAACAACCATTGTTCCCTGCTGCTGCTAGTCAGTCTACTACACAACAATTTACACCACCATTAGGTGGAGCAGCAAATAATCAGGTTTGGCAGTCATCTCACATGCCGACTGTTAATTCAGGTTTAGTATTTATTTTCACCCTTCCTGGAAATATCTTGCAGTCATGGAATGTACCTTCTGCACCCACAGTGCAAGGACATCCAAACACACCAATGCCGCATACATACCATCATGCCTCAAAGCCTGCCAATGAGGCTATATCCAGTGTTGTTTCACAACCTCCTGCTGTGGAAGTTAAAGCAAGTGGAAGGAAAGAACTTCCTGAGGTATTCCTTAGTCCTTATTTTGCTTGACAACCATCTATATTGTGTGCAGTGTGCACATTTATGTGTATATTTTTTGTCTTACAGTTAGTTGTGTTTAATGCAGGATCTGTTCACTGTAAAATATTCTCCCTTCCCAGCTCCAGTTGTAGGTTGGCAAATGGGTGTTCCCCATGGCATGGGTATCGCAATGCCATACAATAATGTGGTGGTACTGTTACAATCCAGAATGATTAGCTTACCAGATTATCCTAGTGTGTGTTTGGATTAGTTTATTTTTTGTTCAAAACATCTCACAATCAAAATCATACTCTGAAAGACCTTTTCTCTTTTAAAGGCCATTTTTCCTCAAAAATAATCAAACCAGACACATGCTCAATCTGTGGCTAATGCAGTAGTGTGAGCATTTCTCTCATATAAGTGTCTACCCACTGTTGCAGCCTGTGCCAAGTTTTCCTCAGCCATCAAGGTCAATAAATCCATTTGATGTCAGCAGTGCACCAGCCCCAAATCAAGCCCCAACTGTATGTGATTTTCATTCATTGATTTAAAATATTTTTGTGCTATTGCCAATTATTGTTCATACTTTACTGTCAATCTTGTGTGTAATGCTGAGTATTGTATTAAAACCATTTACATTTAATATTGCCAATTAATGATTTTACTTTTCAATAGTGAATGTTTGTGGATAAATGATGCTTTGGATATTGTCCATTATTGAGTCAAAAACATTTCTTTTTTCATCGTTGTTACTTAACTGCATGTCACTCTCAAGTTTGCATCTTGCCTATAGCAGAACTATATATAAGAATGAAAATTGCTATCTTTTTTTTCTTTATGATCTCTTCACATTGAATTTGAAAAGACATTGAAGTGCAACTGGCTCTGTAATATTCATTCATTAGTTAGTTCAAACTTCAGAATATTTCGTTTCTGTTTTTGTTTGGAAAAATAAAAGACAATCATGGTTGATGATTTTCTGGTTGGTTTACTCGAGTACAGTTTCCTTCTATGTCATCCTTGCAAGGTGCCCTGCCTAGTGTACCGCCTGCAGGTGCAGTGCACCCTTCAAACATGGGTAATCCATCACTTGCCTGGACTCCACCCCTGTCATCATCATTTCGTCCTACACAAGCACAAATTCATGCATCTGCATTGGGGCCAAGTATGTTTATTTTTTTTTTACCATTCTTCAATTGATTGTTCTATGCCTAAGGTCGTTTGCTTTTGTATCTGTATTCTGAACCATGCGAAAATTTCAGGGGCATACATGGGGCAACAAATGCCAACTAACATGCCAATACCAAGGTAAACTACTCTTTAATCATGATAATATTTGTTGCAAGGTAAACTACTCTTTAATCATGATAATATTTCTTGCATAGGCTATTGTAGGTTTGGTCGTATACTAACTCTTGGAAACTCATTTTGGGTCCTTTGACTCCTTTCCTGTATCTATCCCAAATCATGCTGCATAGTATATAGAATGAACTTAAATGATGTAATGAACCCTTTACTCGTATAAAACACATTTTAGCATCTCATGTTTCACTAGTCTCTTATGTGGGCAGATGTTATTACGTTAGGTGCTATCATTGAGAACTTCTGCTAGTTTTTATTTAGCCTAATTTTTGAAGTGATTAGTGCAAGGAGCAATTCATTGCAGTTATATGGGATGACATCTATGATTATTTTTTGTTCAGCATTACTTGAATTGCCACTCAATGATTTTAACTGACTGCGTAGGCAAGTTGGGGATTTCGGAAATCAAGGAGCTGCTTTCGGCTTGTGAAATCCTGATCAGCAGCTGACCGGTGGGTTATCGAACACTCCCCCCTCTAATTCATTCCCTACAGGAGGAAACCCATTCAGATAATGTGAAAAATTGTCCACCTGGACTTGTAAAGTCAATCATCAACTTGTTGCCCCCTGTATAAATATGTGCAAGTTTCAGCTTCACTTTCTGTTGTCAGTCAAAGTGATACATACACTTACGGATTATGGAGTTTGTGGTAACCCCTGGGTTGAAGTCATATTGCATTTGGCCAGTGTAAATTGCTATTTCTATCGGAAAGGTGAAGACAAAATCTACTTTGAAGAGGGGAAAGGAGTGAGATAAAGAACAGATGAATGAAAGGGGTGAAGAGAACCATTCGAGGAGTCATAATTTTTCTTCTCTTTTTTGGGGTGCACCCATGTGTTGTTCATTTGTAATTGTAGTATAGATTGGTTGGTGGTGTTTTTTTGGTGCTCCCTGTAGCCCTACTCGTGTTCTTTTTTCTTTTTCTTTTTCTTTTTCTTTTTTTGGGGGGAGGGGGGAGTTTTACTATATTGTATGATTTGTGACCTCACAATTTTGGTAAGGTTTTTCAATTTTATGCATGAAATGAAATTAAGCTGTTTTTTTTTTTGTAATGGGGTGGGCCAGAGGCCAAAAAATGGAACTGCTGCTGTTTAGTCTCTCTGAAGGTATGGATCACTTTTTGGGCCTGACTCAATCCATATTCTAATAATCACTCGAAAGTGTCACTCAATATTCCTTCAGCTGAGAAACTTCGCAACCATAGGAAAATGAAATCATCTTACTGCTACTATTGCAGTTCTACGCTATACCACCTCAACCTGTTTTCTGAAATTATTGTGCGTGATAGTTGCTGATGGTTGTTTCTTTTCCAGCGAGCATGGTATACTGGTAAAATAAAAAAATGCCTATTCTTAAAAATATAAATACAAGCATTGTGCATTGTGGGTGGATTCCATGATCTTGTATGTATGACAGTGACTGAATATATCTCATTGTCTCATTTCCTCCATAACCATCAAGCTCGAGGAGAATTGTCCGTGTCCTTTAGCCCATTCCAAATGCAAAAGCTACCTCTATTTCTACCAACCATGGTCCTTTGCCTACACAACAACATCTATAATCAGGTCCAGAAAGTGGATGTCGATGGGTTTCAGATCATGTTCAAGTGGCTAGTGTTTTGGACCAAAAAAACGTGGCTAGTGTTGGATCTAGCCATGATGGTAAATAAAGTTGCAAGTACTACAAGGTCAATTGATTTCATATCTCCTTATGAAAAGTGCTAGTGAATGGGTCCACGTTATTTTTCACGAGTGATTGTAAGGTTTACGTCATAAGTTTAGCAATACACATGGATCTAAACAAAGTATTATACCATGTGGGATTCATAATCTCCCCATAACAAATCATGTAAACTTAAAAATGACATCAAATATAGTACTAAGAGAGAAACTGTATGAAAGAAAAAGTTATAGAGAATAATTTGTAAAAAGAAAATGAAAGCAAAATCATTAAATTGTACGTGTATTTCAAGGTATCTTTTATATAAAATGGTGCCTAGATTTTCTAAGTTAGCGACTGAATTTCCTTTGGGACTTTTTGAACCTTTTTTAATATACAATTTTAACATAAGTAACCCTTCAAAACGGGACTGTCTCTAAAGTAAACAAGGGTACATACTCTTTTAAATTTTAGTGAGTTTAAATCATAATATATTTTGTATTACTAATAAACCTCACTTCACTTGTCCATTTTATAGGCAAGTTCACTCTTGAAAAGTCTTTTTTGTTTTAAAAAAAAAATCAAATGATTTTAATCCATCAAAATATGACTTTCTTATTTTTTTTATTACAAAAAAAAATATGTACAACAATAGTACAAATTATACAATATTTACCAAACTAACATATTTTACTGCGTTTTAAGACTATCCTTTTCCTAATTTATTTTTCAAAGTGGATTTTTTTAATAATATATGTTGCTGAGAAATTGGGGTTGACCACCCAAATTTCTCACAATTTTTTTAATTTTTATTTTTGATTTATTTAATTTCAGTTTTAAATTTAAATTTTTAGTGATTAATTTAATTAAATTAATTTGTAAAAGAATAGTGAATTTTAATTAAGTTAATTTGTAATTTCAGTTCAACCAAAAAAGAAATGTTCCAACTAAGGAGGAACACCAATAGAATAGATATAATTTATATTTGTGTTGTACGTTTTTTATTTAATTTAATGTACTTAAATTAACGTCATCAATAAATTTTATTTTTCTCTTTCTTTTTTCTTAAATATAATTATTAAATTCTATAAAATAAAAATTTTATTCACTGATTATCACAAGCTAAATTAAATTAATTTTAACAAAAATTTATTTTTAAATTTATAAATCAGATTATTTTTCTAAAATATAATCATTTAATTCTATAAAATAAAAAATTTAATTATAAATTAATAATCTTATTCACTAATTATTTAATTATATTTTACAAATTAACCTTTTAAATTTAAATTTAAAAATGAAATTAAATAAAAAAAAAAAGTTGCTGTAAGAAATTTGGATGATCCACCCGATTTCTCAGCTGTATATATTATAAAAACACAAAATTTCCTTTGAAGAATCCGAATTGGAGAAGGGACATTATTAAAAGCACAGTAAAATGTGCTAGTTTGATAAATATTATACAATTTGTGTTATTGTTGTACATATTTATTTTTTTATAATAAAAAAATAAAAAAAACTCTCAAAATATTACTACTTGTAAATGATTGCTCTAACGATAATAATAGATTAAAAACAATGAAATCTGCTTCATTGATTGTGCCTTGGATATTATTTGTTACTGACAAATGGTAATCCACTGCTTACCTTATGTTGAATATACGGTGATTCACTCACCAAAATGAAAATTAGTCTAATAATTGAAACACATAAATTGACTAATCATGAATTAATTTCCAATGAGCATCCCCTAAATGGTTAAGTTACATTATGCTCCCTCAGTGATAACTGAACAACTGCGTTGCTTCAAGTAACACATCCAACAACAGCTGATGCGCATTTGTGCCAGAACCATTGCTTCTGACTACAAATTTCCAGGTGTTGCAATTGCAGTTCTTTTTCCTATCTGAGAGAGCAGCAACTGGAGGAGTCCACTACATGTGTAGTACAGCAGATATATGGTGCCATTTAAGATCTTAATCCTCACAATATCAAACCAAAATGGGGATAACAGGGAACTTCTCAGGTAGAACCACCTTGTCTGCTCTTCCATATGATTGGAGCTATCAACATCCATACTGTGAAAACACAAGCTTTCTTTGCTCAAAAAAAGTGTTGCATTAAGAGTCTTTCTCTCAGTTTAAAATTTTCCAAACCAGCAACACATTCTTTGTTATTGGGTCAAATTTATATATGTCTCGATAAACAATGTCAGTCCCACTTCAATTTGATTGGTCCTAATTCCCTATTCTATGGTTTCCATATGTATTTCACCCAATAACAAAGAATGTGCTAGAAAGTGATTTCTAAAATTCCTCTTTTCATTATATGCTTAGATAAAATTCAAATCTCAATGCTAAGCCTAGTTTAGGGGAAGGAAAAATACAGCAATTAACTTACAGTAAAGACAAACTGCCAACCATTCATTCACTATTCTGACCCAGACGCTGGTCCATCCCACATCAATTGTCCATCTGCAATAGAATATAGGCATTACATCTTATTTCCAAAAAAAAATTATAACTTCTATTAAAGTCTTTTAAGGCATGATCAATTTCTTATAAACTTGCTACTATAAGAAGAGTGACCACATTTTGCTGAGTGACATTGCTGACAACTATGAAAAAAATGCTATATTAGGATAATAAAGTGCTCGGATCCAGGATGATGTTATGTCAAACACAGAATAACTTCTCAAACTTCATGTTGCACCACATTTTGTTGAGTTTAGGTGGCATCTAGATTTGTATGATTGTTTTTGGCAATGAATAAATAGAAATGCAATGAGTTTCCTTTCTTTTGGGTGACAAAGCAAAACAAGAAATGATATGAATGAGATGTACATAACATGCTATGGGCCAATTACAAGATGGGATCATACTTTCTCATAGAATGATGACTATTCCATCCGATCAATAGCATTGCAAAGTACATTGCTCCTGTGGCAAAAACGAAATGGAAGAAGCCATAACCATATGGAACTTCATCTTCTGCTGGCGGATCACTCTTCCTGAACTGAAAGAACTAATCCGATATGCTTTAGAGAACCTGATATTAAAATTCATGTTCAATTTAGATCTTGTAAATTGTAATATCTAACCTGAAAGCTTTGGGAATCTATGCCAGTAGAAAATGTTGCGACAACAAGGGCTAGTATTGCAACAACAAAGCTCTGCCAACAGTCATTTTCAAATGTCAGCCAATTATACAGAAGGCGAAGTAATGTCATGCATTTCATAGCTTTTGAAAATAAAATTACCAAGCCTTCAAAAACAATGTGTGATGAGAACAAAAGCCAAACAAAAGATCGAAAATGTTTTGATCCCCTCATGTCCATTTTTCTTTCATAAGTCGTAATAATGTCTTAATGTTACTTATTAACATGAGAAGATCTAAATTGAAAATCTTAAAGCTTGCAAAATAATTTTCATGATAAACTTGTGGGAATAGCATTTTTTTCTCCTTGAACTTTTTGAAGGGATACGTGCTAATCAAACTAGTAGTGAGACTATAACTGGACTAAAGACACATGATTTTGCATATTATACAAAACTTGCAGGGAAAAAGCATTTTTTGTTGATTCAAAATTATCATGTTTAAAGAGCAATTCCATTATGAAATCCAAATTTCATTTCAACATGAAATAGAGAATATTACAATGATACTTTGCCAGTCAGTTTTGGCTTCAGATTCTGACTTCCTGATGCATACAGCTCCCTCAGGTTCACTGCACAAACAAATATGTTCTAAAGCTCAAATTCAACAGAAATGAAGACAATACATTAATACAAGTTAGAGGGATCACAAAAGCAATAAATGGGCAAAAAAAAACTCCAAACATTAGAAGCTACATGCATTAGACAGCTATATCAAATTATCAATATTAAGAGTACAAAAGTGAAGGCAAAGATTAGTAAGCCCTACCTTCTAAGTGCACACCAGCAAAGGAAGACAACATAGAGACCCATCAACCCTGGACTTAGAATTCCAGCATTCACCTATCGAGAGAAATAAATTCAACATAAAGTCATGATGGAAGCTATAGTAAGCTGTGTTGAAAATAATGGCTGGATCCAAAAGGGGATGAATTGGATCCTTAAAACTTTTTGTCAAAACCTTTAGAAAACTTTATCAACAAGTTGAGCATGCAAAAGACCTAACAAACAATTTTTTTTTATTCATGAACATGATCTATGCAGTATTTTAAAACTCACGGTCAAGATAAATATTACTTACTTTTGGATGTAGAGATACACTTGTCATGAGTTGGAGAAGTACTAGGGTCCAAGTGATGAAGAAGATGTTTTCAAGGCAAGATGGTTGTGGTGCATACCAAATGTACATCAAAATGATCCCCACCAAACAAATAAAATATGAAACAGTTGCAAATAACATCACCTGGACTTGGCTACACAGAAATTGAATATAAATGTAAACATTAATTTAAAAAAATATAATACTATAAAAAATAAGTATAAATAATTTAATTAAAAATTTCGTACCATCTTTGTGCATATTTTTCAGAGCCAAAAAAATCAGTCAGCCACGTAATGAAGCTGATTATGCTTACTAATTGAATTAGGAGGAAAACCCTGAAAAAAAGTTACATAGACAATTAAAATAATCACAGAACAGTTCAAGACAAAAATATGCTGAAATAATTTAGCAGAGTTAAAAAAAAAAACACATACCCAGCACCAAAATGTGCAACATCCCCTGCCCCCAAAAAATAATTAGTGTTAGAGAAATAACAAAGTTAATAAATATAATTATATAAAATTTTTCATATCAAAGAGGAAGCATTTACCAACCATAGATCTCAATGAACTCAGTAGGAAGTAAAAATGGGAATATCGTGACAAGGATCAAGAGAACAATCTTGACTAACCACCATCCAGAGTGCCATTCATCTCTTCCTTCGTTCAGTTTAGAAGTGCCAATAGTTGAACAAAACATTATCATATAAAATAACTGATCAAGAATTAAGGTTCAAAACTCTGCATAAATATTGATTAATGATTGATCTAATGTTTGGTTCTTTTTCTCCTTTTCTACAAACCTTATTTCATTCATGCATATAAGTATTTGAAATTTGAAAAGGATACAAAGCAACCCATGCTCACACGCAGAACACCATTTGGACCCAAACAATCTTGTCCAACCTTGCATCCCTTTAACTCTGTGGGTTCAATATGTGTTAGAATTCAAGCTATTGGCATCATAAGAATATACGATAATACGAATGTTAATGATACACTCTCTGTGGTACTCTTTTTAAGGCACATTGAAATTTATTAAAACCCTCCAACTAGAAACTAATTTAACACATCTTAAATAAACTTAATCTAATAATAGAATACAAATTAAAAATTAAAAAAAAACTTTTTAAGTGTTCCTTTTGCATGAAGATGCAATGCAACACCCTATATTCACACAAGGGTCTATGAATTAGGTTGGAAGAAAATTCTATCATACTCATGGCATTGTCATATTCATGCTTGAAACTAAAGTTTAATTTCAATACACCGACAATATAAAGAGATTTTACACTATCAATCGATCAAAAGTCACAATAAATATGATTTTTAAGATAATTATTGTAAAAATCAATAAATTTCATATAAGATATAAAAAAAACTACTTACTTATATATTAATATAAAAGACATTCTTAACATGATTTATGATTAGTTGTGGATGTAAAAATTCATAAAAGTTAAATCCTAAAAGAATACATTGTTGGTGTTCTTCTTTTGCATGAAAATGCAACACCCGATATACATACAAGGGTCCATGTACTAAGAAGAAAATTCTTTCCATCATGTTTATGGCATTGGCATGGTCATGTTTGAAAGGATGGTGAAGGGAAGTGAAAGTTCATTGATTCAAGGATTCAAGCAATCTTACCCTTCAATTGTATAAGAGCACTAAGACTAGAAAGTTCATCACGAGAGGCCCATGCCAAGAGATTGGCCACCAAAAAAATGAAGCCATACACGTATCTTGCCATCCAAGGATTTGAAGCATTTCTGAATTGACTGTACCATGAAGAATTCTTCAACACTTGACTCCTTTGGTTACCATTACTGTTGCTGCTTTCTCCACTCTCCATCTTTTCTTCAAAAAATCAATGCCACACAGTGCATGAATGGATCGCTCAGTCTCACAGACACAATAAATGGGTCCCACACACCTCTAATTAAGATCTTCTATTCTTCTCCCCTGCACTGTAAATCTGTAATGCATGAAAAGACTCAACATTACTATGGAAAATTCATCACATTCATTATGCCTCGAATGAAACAACACATTTAAATAAGAACCAAAAATTATCTTTCTTGGGACACTTCATCTTCACGTAACCATGAGAATAATAGTTGTTTTAGTTGGTCCTACTAGTCTCAGATTCTTTTTTGGCCATGCCATGCATCGTCTTACCAATCATCATAGAATAAAATGCTAAACACCAAATTTATTGGTATGCCTACCATATTATTAAAATTCCCTTTGATAATCAACCACAAAATTCATATCACTTGGTGAGAAAGTTGAATAATATCTGAAAAAAATATTCAATGGAACATTCCTTGGTTGTGTAAAGTCTTACCTGTTGTACGTTGAATTAGAAACCTCCACCTTCTTCAAGTGGAAACCGGTTTTCTAAAGTTAGAAAAGCCAAAAAAAAAAAAAAAAAAAATTGTCTTTAGATTTTTTTATTTGTTTTTCCTGAATTCAAAAACCTCCACTTTCTTCGCTGGCTATAGTTTATTGTGATTTTCTTTATGGAAAAAAGTTAAAGAACTTTTTCACATCATTTGCAGTAACAATCGTGATATCGGGTTTCCCTTCGCAGTGTTGAAGAGATGTTTTTTGGGGGAAAAGTAAAGGGAAAG